AACGTCAATACAACAAAATATTCTTTTAAAAAGTGGTAAAAGATACAAGATACAAGAACTTTTATTTAGTGTCGAATATGGTTAACAAGAACATAAGATCTTGGGAGCTTGTATTTCGGAAAAACACACTAAGAAGAACGTAAATAACAAAAAAACAAAAAACGTATTATGTGTTTTTAGAATGGTGGGTATGTGTGTTGATTAATAATACATCTTATCTATAATGGTTTATATCAATATGTATGTAAGGGTTTCTGGGGCTGTGTAAGTAGTGTATCTGTGTGTAATTAGTGTGTTTGTGTTTGGGTATGAATGAATAACGTGTGTTTAGAATGGTGAGTATGTGTGTTGATTAATGAAGTGTTCATGTGGGCGTTTTTATTTGTTACACCTCATCATATATTAACTTTCTATGAATCCAGTTACAGTTCTTTAAACCTCAGTAAATCTAAACACTAATTCGCTTTACTCAAACCTAGTTATACTCTACTGATAACGAGTCACCATCACCTGTCCATCTCTATCACCTGTCCAACTCCACCACTGTATAAACTATCTATATGTGCAACATGCTGTAACAGAAATGGGAGAAGACTTATGTAGGTTATGCCTGTTGCCTAATCCCTTTGTTCGAATCAATAAAAAATCTTGAAATGGAATGATACCGAGAAACAACGATTATATATATATTTCATATCGACTCTCAAGAAAAATAGAACTGTAAATCTGTCGACAATACACTTCCTCCACATCCTATAGAACTTATCAATGTTGAAGCCTATTATAAAACATGAATAATGTTAAGATCACATCGCTGGGTTCATTACATCCGAAAAAAAAACATAATTTGTTTTTAGATTTTAGCTCACCTGGTCTGAAAGGGATAAATCGCTATAAAACTTCTCCGTTAGCACAGATGAACGTATTTAAACCAAATTTGGTAGTGCGGGTTCCTGGACTTTGATTATATTATGTAATATTAATGTAAAAATTGACCCATAGCGACACTAATGCGGGTTCCTAAAGGGGAAATAGGAACAGTATTTCAAAACATATATTTCTTAATTAAGAGTAAGGGATCTTAACCTAAATTGGTATGAAACATCCATTTGGCCAAGGTTCATTGCTTTAGAAATAAGTACGGCAGGGTGAGGCTAGTTTATGAAATAAATATGTCTTTATAAGATCATTTTTTAAATATAATTGGACAATACATTGTTTTGGTATGAATATCTTTCTTTGACCAAGGGGAATACATTCTTTTGGAATAGCGGAGAGGTTTAATAGGACCTGTAACTGTTTAAAATACATTGCTGTGATTGCTGTGGTGATGAAAGAATACCTCAATTGATCCCATGTAATAGAAAAATACTTATATAAATAATATAGATGTATTTGTCGTTGTTAATGGTGTTCTGTTCAACATTCGGAATTGAAATTTGAATTGTTTACACTCTGAATGATTTATTTTATGATCAATTTTACGCGCTAAAAATACGATAGCTTGTCATCAGTTTAAAATTAGACTTCTCGCGACAATAGTTGAAGGACATCTTGTTTCCACGTTCGCTACGGGGAACCGAAATAATAGCGTAAGCTGCATCACCAACAACGCCCACCTCTAGCGGGGCATTTTTGTCCCCACAGAATACGTCATTAATTGTCTCTTATTCACCTGCATGGCATATCGTGTATTGTCGAACATCACTCTCCACGAAAACACATGTATTGAAGTGCCGGTAGAATCAGAGCCGGCTGCTGATCGATGGTTCATGCATAGGATGACATTAGGCTAAAACAACAATCACCACCAAACCTGTCACACGATCCCCAGGCTTTGTGGATAAAGAGACGCTAAGCCGGAAAGAAAACACAAGCTTATTTTACATTAATGGGCTGTCCTAGAACTCTGTTATAGATCCGCTAAATCACTGTCATTAGGCAGATAACATATTTATTGTTATTTCATTCATCGGTAAATGAGCCAGTGCCACGACAAACTAGAAAATCACTTGATTTCATACACGATGGATTTAATGGTTGCGTATAAATATTTGTAACATTTGTAATTCAAAACATATTTAAAATTGAATTTTTCCACTTAAAAATTATCAATATGATTAAACTTGATTTGATTCTGGCGTCCTAGGACAAATACGTTGTGAGATAGTTACACAATTTGAAGGAAACTAGAGACTTGTCACTGAATAATAGCGTTACTACAACATTCAGTGATAAATATGTAAACCACATCATCTTGTACACGTTCAGTATATTGAATAAACATTTAATTATTTCCACACAATTTCATGTCTATATTTAATAAACCAATACTGATAAACAACATTTTAAAAACAACAACAATCAGAGTTATATGAACGTTTGATTTTAAGTGTAAAGCGTCAAAATGATAAATACATCATGGCGCTATGGACAATATCACGTGACGTTTTGAGCAGACCGATATTTTCATTTGGCAGTTTAATTTAATTGTTCAATAATAAAAAAAAAAGTTGATGATATTATGACCGTTATTTACTAATTTCGATTGACGAGATTTTTTTTACAAAATTTTAGAAATGTTTTATTGCAGGTATCGTTATATTTTTATTGATAAATTCACACATTTCTCTTCAAAAAAAGAAATGACTACATATAACTTGTCAAAAATGTTTCTTACTGTGACCTGTCAAACTATCTAACTATCTAAATGTGTAGAATACTCACATGGATAAAGGTAAGAATAGTATACTGATGTTATATTCAAGTTCACGTTCTTTATTATATGAGCATTTGATGTTTTGAAGCATTTTTAAATACAGCGTATCTATGCGTCAAACCGTTACCTTGGGTTGTGCTGAAATATATTTCAGATGGAGATATTTCTCACTGTATTTTTATTTACAGACGATGATCAACGACATACCAGCAGTATGTGTTGAATTAATCATATCCCCTACTGTGTCCTTCCTGTTGTGTTATGTTATAATCGTGATGGATTTAAAGAAAACCTTCTCGATCGATATTTAACTTTCTCTACTGTTAGGCGCTGAAAAAATCTGTCTAGGTTTTGAGCGCTGATACTCATGTTAATGCGTATTGTTTCTTAACACCGAGTAGAAATAAAATCCAATATTTCATATACATTTATTTCAAAATGAAAAGAACACCGGGAGAGTAGACTGTTTACCATTACAATATCGAAGATATATTTCTATACTGTTGAGTATAAGCTGGCTTGAGTAGGTCATTCATAGCAGGTGGTAAACAAGGTTTTGTAATGGTCGTTCTTAACAGGTGGTAAACAAGGCTTTGTAATGGTCGTCCTTAACAGGTGGTAAACAAGGTTGTGTAATGGTCGACCTTAACACGTGGTAAACAAGATTGTGTAATGGGCGTCCTTAACACGTGGTAAACAAGGTTCTGTAATGATCGTCCTTAACACGTGGTAAACAAGGTTCTGTAATGATCGTGCTTAACACGTGGTAAACAAGGTTTTGTAATGGTCGTCCCCAACAGGTGGTAAACACGGTTGTGTAATGGTCGACCTTAACACGTGGGAAACAAGGTTGTGTAATGGTCGGCCTTAACAGGTGGTAAACAAGGTTGTGTAATGGTCGACCTTAACAGGTGGTAAACAAGGTTGTGTAATGGTCGTCCTTAACACGTGGTAAACAAGATTGTGTAATGGTCGTCCTTAACACGTGGTAAACAAGGTTGTTTAATGGTCGACCTTAACACCTGGTACAAAAGGTTGTGTAATGGTCGTCCTTAACACGTGGTAAACAAGGTTGTTTAATGGTCGACCTTAACACGTGGTAAACAGGATTGTATAATGGTCGTCCTTAACACGTGTTAAAAAGGTTGTGTACTGGTCGTCCTTAACACGTGGTAAACAAGATTGTGTAATGGTCGTCCTTAACACGTGGTAAACAAGGTTCTGTAATGATCGTCCTTAACACGTGGTAAACAAGGTTGTGTAATGGTCGACCTTAACACCTGGTACAAAAGGTTGTGTAATGGTCGACCTAAACACGTTGTAAACAAGGTTTTGTAATGGTCGTCCCCAACAGGTGGTAAACAAGGTTGTGTAATGGTCGTCCCCAACAGGTGGTAAACAAGGTTTGTAAGGGTCGTCCCCAACAGGTGGTAAACACGGTTGTGTAATGGTCGACCTTAACACGTGGTTAACAAGGTTGTGTAAGGGTCAACCTTAACACGTGGTAAACAAGTTTGTGTAATGGTCGACCTTAACAGGTGGTAAACAAGGTTGTGTAAGGGTCAACCTTAACACGTGGTAAACAAGGTTGTGTAAGAGTCGACCTTAACACGTGGTAAACAAGGTTGTGTAAGGGTCGACCTTAACACGTGGTAAACAAGGTTGTGTAGGGTCGACCTTAACACTTGGTAAACAAGGTTTTGAAATGTCGACCTTAACACGTGGTAAACAAGGTTTTGTAATGGTCGTCCTTAACACGTGGTAAACAAGGTTGTGTAATGGTCGCCCCAACAGGTGGAAAAAAAGGTTATGTAATGGTCGACCTTAACACGTGGTATACAAGGTTGTGTAATGGTCGTCCAAAACAGGTGGTTAACAAGATTGTGCAATGGTCGTCCCCAACAGGTGGAAAAAAGGTGTAATGGTCGTCCCAAACAGGTGGTTCACAAGATTGTGTAATTGTCGTTCCGAAAACGTGGTACACAACACTATGTACTGGTCGTTCCTAATAGGTGGTAAACAAGTTGTACACTGGTCGCCATTAACAGGTAGTACACACCTTTACGTAATGTCTAATTGCTTTATTATTTGACCACCGTTATGACAACTTTCATCTTATTTTTCTAGTCCCTGATAGCACGGATTTTTTTTGTTTGTTATTCGTTTGTGTAATTAGTAACTGTCTATATATGTTGAAAACACTTAACAATTTACCATAATCTATAAAAAAAATAACAAATCTGGAATAATCATATAACGCCGTATACTTAAGTTGCCTTACTTTTCTTCATGATGGACGACAACCAATTGGACGATTTCTGAAGATTGATTGACTATCCTCTTTGTCTCCTCGAACGTCGTGTCCACTAGGGATTTACCATTCCACATAAGCACCTGATCTCCTAGAACAAGACAAATCAAAACTGATGTCAATCAGACAAGGACCACATCTTACCGTTGACAACGTAGAATGGCGTAAAATGCCTGGTTATGTGAAAGCATTGTCTTAGCTATCAACAACATGATAACCTAAAGGCACTTGGGTATTTCCCTATGTAGCTAATTAATCTGTATATGCATCGTATTTCTTGTAAAGGATAATCACTTGCTTATAGTAAGAAGACTACCTTAACTTGCAACAATTAAACAATCTTCCTAAAGATTTAGACATGAGTCAGTATAAAATATTGAATTTCAATTGTCTCATCGTAAACAATTAAAGCATTCTTGGAGAGTTGGTACAATATTTCATTGTTTAAACGATTCGTTATCTCAGAAAGATAATAAATGCTCTAAAATATTTTAAATGATACAACGTTATTGTTATCGTCTTTAGATGGTGATATACAAATATACAAAAAACAGTGGTGGATGGTTGTCATGTTTATCTAACTCGAATTGGTTAGTTTTCAAATTGTATAAAGACACGAGGTTTATCGAGTATCTATTAATATGTGGAAATTAACAAATGAAAGTAAGATAAACATGATAAGAAGTCATAAAAAGAATCTGTGTCTACAATAACGTTCGTATTTTATCTTAAAAAACACATGTTTCCCTTGGAATGTATCCGATGGAGAAATAATTGCCACAGATCATGACGTTACAATATAACGTGACGTCATAATTCAAAGATTGACTAATGAAATCACGTCCACTGTGTAATTAACCCTCTAGCGGGTAACCAAACATGTTTTACCAACTTCTAGCAGGTTATCCAAGGAGTCGTGATTGAGAATACATTTCCTTTTTAATTTGGGAACGCATCCATGTAAATGTAAACTGAAAACAAATGGCCTCAGAAATTTGGGTACATAATCTCGGCCGATCATTGTCTGATAGTAAGGGACATTCACACTATATCTTGAAATAACATAACTTGTAGGCACACCTTTTTCAAAGTTCATCGTACTGAAAACACAAACCTTCTAGAATACCGTAGGAGTCCGCTGGTCCATCTGTGTCTACATACGTTACGAAAGCACCAAGTCTGTTGCCAAAGCGACACTGGCCTCCAACCACACGCATACCAAGACCATTGCCTGTACAGGTATAACAGACATGTTTAAAGTTTGTGTTTAAAGGTTTTAAGCAAATACGTCAATGGAAATATAGCTACTGGGTAGAAATAGCCGACATATATTTTTACCTCGTTAAGGGTATGCTATTGGTGTCTCATTTCTCAGACGATACTACTCGTATATAACTAGTGTCTCTCTCAAATTGGGACTGATTAATTAAAATTGCTACTATTATGTTTTTCTTCTTTTGTTATTTCCAGCTAAACGAAGGTGTATATCAGCAAGCCATGTGTTCAGACAGTGCATTTCTGTCTTTGCTTGCTAAAGAGAAATGAAAAATGTTCGAGGAAAAAATCATATTTTGCTTAACTCATCCTTAAACAGAGACACAAACGTGAAAGTACGACGGCAGTGTGTTCCGCACATATCGTTTAACTGACGCAAATAGATAGGCTAAATATAGAGCTGGAAACACTTGGAGTTTTAAGAAATAATTTTTCACTTCCGTTGTGAAGGCCGTACTATTTTCAATTTCGATTGAGTGTTTTGTTTGCAGCCTTGTCAACAGGAAATTGGATTTTGCTATTTGCCTGTAGGTATTGATACTATCTTGTTTTACTATTATTTGTTTCCTACAAAAGATGCAATACTTGTTTTTAGTAAAAGCAGGACCTCAAGTACTGGAGTAAAATACTTCATGGCTTCATTGAAATGCCTAAAATGACATCTGATAAATAATCACGAAAGTAGTGGATTTGCAATCAATAGAGAAACAAATCACTGACCAAATACAGTTTTGATTGAAAAATGTGTCCTGTGTCTGTCATGACCCCATTATTTAGCCTGCCTGTCTCCGTTTGTACTGAAGCTGTAACGTTGACTGATTGCTCGATGTTATATATAACTAGCATAACTACGTCCCAATAAAAAAACACGTTCTCCATGCAATAGGAGTGGCAAGTCACAGAAATAGGTGTTATACATAGATCCGTGCAATGTATTGGATCACTACCTTGTTATAAGGATTACGTACATATGAGTCAGAGGTCACAGTAATAGGTGTTATACTTAGATCCGTCAATGTATTGGATCAATCCGTTTATAGGGATTTACATACATAAAAGTCCAAGTCTCATTAACTGGTATTAACATAGATCAAGCGCTATTAGGTTTATGATAATTTTTAAAATGTTTTACTTACAGAAATATTAAAACATAAATCTAAAACAGAATTCCCCTCGGAATCCAAATAATAGTCCTTAAATATTTAAGAAAAAACGAATAGTATTTCTGAACCCCAGTCCTTCATGTTATCCCACACATACACAAAAATAATAAAAGTATTGTTATATCTTTAAACATTTATCTCCTTGACCTCATCATACATTAACGTGTGTTTGAAAAGAAATTATATTCATCGTTTAATTAAGGACCTAAAGCGTGATGAACTGGATCCTGAACACCAGACACCTAATTTCGTATTCTATCATTATAAGGATTCACATATCAAACCTGTAAACACAAAACGCCATTAGATTAACATGTTAGCCATGTTACAATTACAAATTATTTGCATTCTGACAATTACACAGATAATGCCATACTCTCTCATTATAAGGATTCCCATATCAAACATGTGAATACAAAATGCCATACTCTCTTATTATAAGGATTCCAATATCAAACATGTGAATACAAAATGCCATACTTTCTCATTATAAGGATTCACATATCAAACATGTGAATACAAAATGTCATGCTCTCTCATTATAAGGATTCCCATATCAACCATGTGAATACAAAATGCCATACTTTCTCATTATAAGGATTCCAATATCAAACATGTGAATACAAAATGCCATACTTTCTCATTATAAGGATTCACATATCAAACATGTGAATACAAAATGTCATGCTCTCTCATTATAAGGATTCCAATATCAAACATGGATTCACATATCAAACATGTGAATACAAAATGTCATGCTCTCTCTTGATGGTCTCTCACATCCACACATATATTTGCATGTAACAACAACAAATTATTTGCATGATGCTAATATCACAGGTGGTATTATACTCTCTTTCTTGATTAAGACTTTGATCAACCGATCAAATATAGAATAATAACATGTCACCGGCAACATCAATCTACTTACATCGACAATTCTGGTCGTTCTTGTCTCGGTATAATAACACATCTCTTGATTTTAAAGAGGCTAGGTATTCTGTGGAAAAAAAAGAAAACATCTGTGAAGCATGAAGTTTCAAGAAGCAAAATTCACCTAACTGATTGCATCGATAAAAACACAAGGTAAACAAGCGCATTCAGCCAAAGCAATCGCTAATTTTGGAGCCTATGATATACATTGTACGCTAGTATGATGCAGTAAAAATTACAAGGTTAAGTGACCATAATATATACTAACTAATTATAATATATGCAAAGAGAGAAAGCGCTCATTTAGTCATTTTGATTATAGATGCAGAACGCCAAATAATGTACCGTACGGTCATTTCTTCCATTTCGGACTCATTAATAGTATTAATGGTAAAAAAAAAAAAAATGACAAATCTATATCTAAAATATTACGAATCATATATACAATACAGCAACAAGGGGAAAGTGTCGATAAATCACTTATAACATTATAAATTTGTGGTAAAAGTGTACGGCCATACTCGGGGGCTAATAGTCTTTCAGTATATGGAATGGTACATCAGTAGATATAAGTGTACCGCTCACCGCGGGGACTGATAGTCTATCAGTAGATACAAGGGTACGGCCAACCTCTGTGACTGATAGTCCACCAGTAGATACAAGGGTACAACCAACCTCGGGGACTGATAGTCCAATAGTCCATCAGCAGATACAAGGGTACGGCCAACCTCTGTGACTGATAGTCCATCAGTAAATACAAGGGTACGGCCAACCACTGTGACTGATAGTCTATCAGTAGATATAAGGGAAAGGCCAACCTCTGTGACTGATAGTCTATCAGTAGATACAAGGGTACGGCCACCCTCTGTGACTGATAGTCCATCAGTAAATACAAGGGGACGGCCAACCACTGTGACTGATAGTCTATCAGTAGATATAAGGGAAAGGCCACCCTCTGTGACTGATAGTCCATCACAGATACAAGGGGACGGGCAACCTCTGTGACTGATAGTCCATCAGTAGATATGAGGGAAAGGCCAACCTCTGTGACAGATAGTCTATCAGTAGATACAAGGGTACGGCCAACCTCTGTGACTGATAGTCCAGCAGTAGATATAAGGGTACGGCCAACCTCTGTGACTGATAGTCCATCAGGAGATATAAGGGAAAGGCCAACCTCTGTGACAGATAGTCTATCAGTAGATACAAGGGTACGGCCAACCTCTGTGACTGATAGTCCAGCAGTAGATATAAGGGTACGGCCAACCTCTGTGACTGATAGTCCAACAGTAGATACAAGGGTACGGCCAACCTCTGTGACAGATAGTCTACCAGTAGATGTAAGGGAAAGGCCAACCTCTGTGACTGATAGTCCACCAGTAGATATAAGGGTACGGCCAACCTCGGGGACTGATGGTCTACCAGTAGATATAAGGGTACGGCCAACCTCGGGGACTGAAAGTCTACCAGTAGATATAAGGGTAAGGCCAACCTCGGGGACTGATAGTCTACCAGTAGATATAAGGGTACGGCCAACCTCGGGGACTGATAGTCTACCAGTAGATACAAGGGTACGGCCAACCTCTGTGACTGATAGCCCACCAGTAGATCCAAGGGTACGGCCAACCTCTGTGACAGATAGTCCATCAGCAAATACAAGGGTACGGCCAACCTCTGTGACTGATAGTCCATCAGTAGATACAAGGGTACGACCAACCTCTGTGACTGATAGTCCACCAGTAGATATACGGGTACGGCCAACCTCGGAGACTGATAGTCCACCAGTAGATACAAGGGGACGGCCAACCTCTGTGACTGATAGTCCATCAGTAGATATAAGGGTACGGCCAACCTCTGTGACAGATAGTCTGTCAGTAGATAAAAGGGTACGGCCAACCTCTGTGACTGATAGTCCGCCAGTAGATATACGGGTACGGCCAACCTCTGTGACTGATAGTCCATCAGTAGATACAAGGGTACGGCCAACCTCTGGGACTGATAGCCCACCAGTAGATACAAGGGTACGGCCAACCTCTGGGACTGATAGTCCACCAGTAGATATACGGGTACGGCCAACCTCGGAGACTGATAGTCCACCAGTAGATACAAGGGTACGACCAACCTCTGTGACTGATAGTCCACCAGTAGATACAAGGGTACGACCAACCTCGGGGACTGATAGTCCACCAGTAGATATACGGGTACGGCCAACCTCTGTGACAGATAGTCTGTCAGTAGATACAAGGGTACGGCCAACCTCTGTGACTGATAGTCCATCAGTAGATATAAGGGTAAGGCCAACCTCTGTGACTGATAGTCCACCAGTAGATATACGGGTACGGCCAACCTCGGGGACTGATAGTCCACCAGTAGATACAAGGGTACAACCAACCTCGGGGACTGATAGTCCACCAGTAGATATACGGGTACGGCCAACCTCGGGGACTGACAGTCCACCAGTAGATACAAGGGTACGGCCAACCTCTGTGACTGATAGTCCACCAGTAGATATACTGGTACGGCCAACCTCGGGGACTGATAGTCCACCAGTAGATATAAGGGTCCACCAGTAGATATAAGGGAACGGAAAACCTTTGAGACGTGTAGTCATACAGCAGTACCTAGTAGTGACGTGAATTGATCGCTGGAAACACGTAGAAAGAAAGTACCTATTTAAGGTACATTTACTAAATGTCAGATTCATAATTATATGCTGATACACTCGGCAGGACGCTGGAGGGTTAAAAGACAGTTTCGTATCGCTTAATCACCGTATTCTTTTGTGTAAAGGGACAATAAAGGTTTCCAAATAGTCAGCATGAACAAATCATCAATACTAATTGGAAGCGTACAGTTATTTAGCATATCTTGGAATCCCAACTTGTTTTAAGCCTAATGATTAAACGGTAATATAAAGAAATAATTAGCGGTATCAATCACAACCAGAAGGGTTGTTTTGGTTAATGAAGAAATTTTGTTTAATACAAATGACTTGCTTCAGTTAGCCATGTGTTAACTTAAGCGTTGTACATATCAAATTGTGATTTTTTCAGAACTTCCTTAGCTAAGTCTGATTGCTGGATCTTGTATTCTGTAAACTATATATAACAGTAAAGCAATCGTAATTAAAATGTACAGTGCCTTAGGTTATGCCTGTTTGGCACCCTACCCTATCAAAGGGGAAATACTCTAAGGAGCTTTACATTTTAAGAATGACAGACATATGTATTTAACACAATAAAGGGAGAACGGGAGTTGTCATTGATCATTTTATTTAACGTGTGACCCTGTACCTCATTATGTGTGAGACGACATGGGCATACCGACTATTCTATGCGTGCTTTATTTGTTATTGGTTCTTATTTCTAGGGGTTCGTATGTTGTAATATAACACTCGAATCCAAAATAACAGACCCCGTACTTTCCAAAATAGACAATACTTTTACTCCACTCAAGCAAGGTAGAGTTGTGCAAATCTTATCTCAAAGAAAAAACTCTAAGGCGCTGAACATTCGGGGAATGAAAGACATACAAAGTCGACACAATCAGGGTTACATTGCACCATGATAACCAAACCCAGAAAATACTCCACACTTGCCGGGTGGATTTGTGCAAGGAGGAAAAGGGTCAATCACTTTCTGTCGTGTGTGGGATCCTATAACCTACGGCCTTCCAAGGGGAACTGTCAAAGTAAAAGAATCTTACTAGTACCGTTCGACCTTAAAATTAAATTACGATGCCGTTATTACTCTGCTGGTGGACTATCAGTCCCTGAGGTTAGCAGAAACCATAGAACTGGATACTTTTTCTGTCTGGCATAGTTGACTTAAAATACCACTGTAAAGGAATCCTTGTGGTTGTAAATTTGCATCGTTGAAGTGACTTTAAAGGCATTTTTCCGGGTTTTTCTGTATTTCTACGTATGTTTCGGACCATTTTAGATAACATGATCGGTAAGAGTTTACACTGCTTGACTCTCTGTGTTGTCATATTAAATTGCTTCTATTTTTCGTATTTTAGTGATCATTCTTGTTTCAATTCCAAAAAGATTAATTGGATACTAGAAGCAGTTTACAGGAGAAACAACCAAATTTTACAATTAAGTAAAATCACATTATATGAATAATTTACAGCTACCTTTCATTCGTTAAAAAACAAACAAATTAACAAAACAAAACAAAAAAAGCAATCAAAGAACACCAAGAAAAAAACCTCTGCTAGTTTGTTTTGTAATGACGAATACAAGGCTCACGGACATCTCTTTTGTGTGTTTGTTGCGGAAAACAGGGTTAACTGATACATTAATGGTATTGTGTACGTCGTGGTTAATGTTTGAACCGTTTATAGGCCTAAGGCCATGCCTGAAGAACCTGATGCAATGGCATACACATTTTCAAAATAACGTGGCACGTGAAACGTTGAATCTATCAAAGGTAACAAGTAGGCGGTTTGAAATGGTTGAAGTTAATTACTTAGAATAGAAATCATCTCCAAGCGTCAGCAAACAAGGAAATTAAAAATCGATGCAAAACATGACAGAAACGGAAGAGACACTTAACAAAAAGTAAAAATGACAAAACCGAAGGCGAAAGTGGATGTTTGGAAAGGTAACGTTTCCTGTATTTTCACAAATATAGGTCACCGCAATCTCAGACATAATAAAGTTCCCCCGTCAGAAACCTCGAATTAAATAGTTTACTTAAAGCAACAGTTGTTTATAGGTCAATGGTATATCAGATTTGAATGATACACTTTCTTTATGTTTAAACAGGGATTTAAAACCTCGCCATGACAACCTAAATGAAGAGCTTTAAGATTTGGTTTGTGTAACAAATGGAAGAAGTTGATAGGTAACCCGATACCACTCTGTAACCAGGAGCCAGAGTTGATAGGTAACCCGATACCACTCTGTAACCAGGAGCCAGAGTTGATAGGTAACCAGATACCACTCTGTAACCAGGAGCCAGAGTTGATAGGTAACCCGATACCACTCTGTAACCAGGAGCCAGAGACGGTCGTCAGTAGCACACGACCTTTTGGGGATTCTCAAGCTCCTCCTCGGCCACAGTATTTGTGCTTTCGTGTGGTATATCGATCCCAATGTTTACCCGGCGACATATGGTAGACAACATCAACTTAAACAAATACAGTGGTGGCAAAAGATAATGTGTAAGATTGAGTATATAGTTCTAATGCTTATGTGTGCATATATTTATGATTAATGAGATTTGCTACAAAAAAAAGTCTAACTGATACCACAATGATGATGGAAAGGAATTGCAAAGCAAAAACACAAGTACGTCTTACATGTGTTGTGTTTATTCGTTAATACATACGTATGCTTATAATGATAAGTTATGGTGTAAGTATGTGACATGTAGTTGTAAGTACTGGTGTATGTGTGTGCTATATTACTGTTTCTGCTGGGGTATGTGTGTGATGTGTAGTTATAAGTACTGGTGTGTATGTGTGTGATATGTAACTGTAAGTACTGGTGTATGTGTGATATGTAGCTATAAGTACTGGTGTATGTGTGATATGTGACTGTAAGTACTGGTGTATGTGTGATATGTAACTGTCAGTACTGGTGTATGTGTGATATGTAACTGTAAGTACTGGTGTATCTGTGATATGTAGCTATAAGTACTGGTGTATGTGTGATAAGTAGCTATAAGTACTGGTGTATGTGTGATATGTAACTGTAAGTACTGGTGTATCTGTGATATGTAGCTATAAGTACTGGTGTATGCGCGTGATATGTAGCTATAAGTACTGGTGTGTATTCGTGATATGTAAATGTAAGTACTGGTGTATGTGTGATATGTAACTGTCAGTACTGGTGTATGTGTGATATGTAACTGTAAGTACTGGTGTATCTGTGATATGTAGCTATAAGTACTGGTGTATGTGTGATAAGTAGCTATAAGTACTGGTGTATGTGTGATATGTGACTGTAAGTACTGGTGTATGTGTGATATGTATCTATAAGTACTGGTGTATGTGTGTGATATGTATCTATAAGTACTGGTGTATGTGTGTGATATGTATCTATAAGTACTGGTGTATGTGTGATATGTAGCTATACGGACTGGTGTATGTGTGGGATATGTAACTGTAAGTACTGGTGTATGTGTGTGATATGTAGCTATAAGTACTGGTGTAAGTATGTGACATGTAGTTGTAAGTACTGGTGTATGTGTGTGCTATATTACTGTTTCTGCTGGGGTATGTGTGTGATGTGTAGTTTTAAGTACTGGTGTGTATGTGTGTGATATGTAACTGTAAGGACTGGTGTATGTGTGATATGTAGCTATAAGTACTTGTGTATGTGTGTGATATGTAACTGTAAGTACTGGTGTATCTGTGATATGTAGCTATAAGTACTGGTGTATGGGTGGGATATGTAGCTATAAGTACTGGTGTATGTGTGTGATATATAGCTATAAGTACTGGTGTATGTGTGTGATATATAGCTATAAGTACTGGTGTATGTGTGTGATAAGTAACTGTAAGTACTGGTGTATGTGTGATATGTATCTATAAGTACTGGTGTATGTGTGTGATATGTATCTATAAGTACTGGTGTATGTGTGTGATATGTAGCTATAAGTACTGGTGTATGCGTGTGATATGTAGCTATAAGTACTGGTGTGTATTCGTGATATGTAACTGTAAGTACTGGTGTATGTGTGATATGTAACTATAAGTACTGGTGTGTATTCGTGATATGTCACTTTAAGTGCCGGTGTATATGTTTGATATCAAGTTAGTACTAGCGTTGGTGGATGTGCGTAGTATTTATTAAGTTCAGGTGCATGTGCGTGATATCTAATACTATGAGTTTGCTTCAGTGGGTGTATTAAAAAATTCTTTATAAAGTATCAATACAAAATGAAGACAAAAACCCTACATCTGAAAATATTGACTAGAAAAGTGAGATATTACGCTTACATATAAAATAATAACGGGATCAAGCAAAGAACGTCCATGATAAGATATTTTGAATTCGATACCAAGAAGAGGATGTCCATTCTAGTCGAGTCGGGAGGTAAACATACCGGCCATACTTGATAGAGTTTTACCGTTAGCCTTACTCAACCTTTCATTACAAACAATGGAACAGCCGTTAAGTCCACTTATCACATATTCAATATTATTGATTTTTACAATGAAGATAGTCTCAAGGAGACGACACAAGTTTTATGCACTAAATCATATACAAGGATAGGCATTTGCTATTTTATGCTAGCTTCTTTTCATGAGGGCTGTGTTAGCTTAACTTTTAACCCTATTTAAATGTTCATTTAATTTCTCACTTAGTTTCTTTTCATTATCATAGTATTTATTGATTTGTTTTTATAAATTCAAATTAGTGTTGGGAACTAGAAATCTTCTTAATTGCATCGATAATTAACTCTTGATGGAACATTAAATTCCGTAGTGATTGAAATATGTAAATACAAAAAAGCTAACAATGCAAATCGTCCTGGTTAATGCTATGAACGTATGTCACACATTTCGTGGCATCGATCTGAAATAAAATCTGGATTTCTTCTCAGGAATGAAAAGAGGTCACACAGTGGGAACATGTTATTTATTTTTGTGGGTGATCTTCAAATGATCTTCTGCCGAAACAAAGAGATGAATTATCATTAGTACGAATGTTTGATTTTGCTTGGAAAATGAAAAAAATAGATGATTATTAATGCGAGAAGTAGAAAAGGGAGGAAAAAGGAATAAATATATATAAGAATGATATGTTGATCAGTATATTATTTAGCGGTACTGAACACAAACAGGTTTGACATTTGATATTTGATATTGATAAAAAAATCTAAAAAAATGAAGAATATATATATATATATATATATATTTGAACTGTAAATAACGTTCTCTACTCACAAAACCACATTTGTATTTTTCTTATCTAACTGCTCATACCTTACCTTGTCTTCCATATTCTTGTTTCTTTCGGTACTCTCCGCCGTCTTACTGCTAATACCTTACCTTGTCTTCCATATTCTTGTTTCTTTCGGTACTCTCCGCCGTCTTACTGCTAATACCTTACCTTGTCTTCCATATTCTTGTTTCTTTCGGTACTCTCCACCGTCTAACTGCTAATACCTTACCTTGTCTTTCATATTCTTGTTTCTTTCGGTACTCTCCGCCGTCTAACTGCTAATATCTTACCTTGTCTTTCATATTCTTGTTTCTTTCGGTTCTCTCCGCCGTCTAACTGCTCATACCTGACCTTGTTTTTAAATCATTATTCTTTTTTGATACTCTCCGGCGTCTTCATGTCCAACCTTACCATTTTTTTGAAATCCTTATTTATTTCGGTACTCACCGCTGTCTTACTGCTAATACCTTACCTTACTCTCCGCCACATTAATGTTTGTATCCTACCTTGTCCTTGGTAACATTGCTCCATTCGGTACTCTCCGCCATATATTTAATGCTCATACATGTATCTCACCTCTCTCTTTGATTTTCCTACATTCCTTTCGGAACTCGCCGCCATCTCATCGTCCGTATCTTACCTTGTCCTTTGATATCCTCGTTCCATTCGGATTCTCCCCTGTCTCAGTGTATATTTCGATTTCTTACCTAGTTCTATGTTTTATTCGGCACTCTTCATCGTCTTATTGTTCATGTCTTACCTTGTCCTTTGGTATCCTTGTTCCATTCGGTACTCTTCATCGTCTAATTGTTCATATCTTACCTTGTCTTTTGATATCCTCATTCCAATCGGTACTCTCCGCTGTTTCGTTGTTCCCAGAGGATCTGCGAGATGACCCGGAATCTGAGGACCACCTTCGACATCGCGCGGCGGGGCTTTCCGGTGGCATTAGGTAGGTTTGTTTAATTTTGTGCCCCGAAGTATGCTGATCCACAGAAAATCGCTTCCCATCCAACTTAAACCCGAGAACACCTGAGTTTGAAATGTTATGGGAGTGGCGCCTGCGCACACTCGGGCTGTTTCCGTCATCCACCGTCAGAGTGTTTGGAGTAGACCTCGGAATCAATCCCGGCATGGACCTACGGTGACCGGAGCTAATGAGTGGTGGACTTTGCTGCGATGGCTGAAGACCGTAGCCCCACGAATCACGCGTCAGACCCGCTTGCATATGACTAAAACCACAGTTGCTGGGATTAGGTCGTGTGATGCTACTCCTTTTTGACGATGTTGTTTCCGTTTGTGAGTCATCAGGTTTGAAATACACAGACACCGAGCCACTGCGGACGGACTCGTCCGAATGCCGTCTAACCCTGTTTTCGAGGTCACTCGACACATTGAGACGTTGCATAGAATGAAGATGAGCACATGGACTAATATTCCCGCCATTCACAACATACCCGGATGTTAAATCACCATTATACTTATTATCCTGATCAGGGACATCCGTTAATAGCTGTCTCTGTTTTAGAGACTTCCGGCGTGAACTGTTACGACGTTGAGTCCGCTTTTGTTTCACATGCGCTCTGGCTCGTTCAACAGAATCATCTGTTTCACTATCGTTGTCTGATGGCGAAGAACGAGGTATTAGTGAACCGCTCCTTCGTCTGTTCCGGTTCTGCATGTTTTTGGAACCACTCATTGAAACAGCCCTATTAAATTTACGCTGCTCTGAATCAGTGCATATTTCTGATGCAGAAAAAAGTGACGAAGAATCTACACTTGTTTGATTCTGTAATATAAGAAAAGAAGTATATCGACAGTGCTCCTGATAAACAGGCAGTGTCACCACGGAAGAATAATGTAAATATATCAATAATGCATGCATACGAGGAGTGTGACAGAGCCTCGAATGAGATCTGCTAGAGGAGAAAACGGCAAATGAGGATAACGTTGTACATAATCTGTAATCAATGAAATCCAAATCGATAGTAAAGCCAAATACTATATCCTCAGACAGGTTATGTATGTCTTCTAAACGGCGCAAAAACAGCACACAGACCGGCTCTTTGACGAGCAGACACTGGTAGTGACAGTCCTCTCACAAACCAATTTGTCAAGCATAATTCACAAACATCGCTCAATCCGTCAGATTTCCACCTTTTCTATATTCAATACATCATACACTATAAATAACTGATTCTCTACCAGGTAATTAGTTTGTCCAAATTAAGTAGAAAATTGTAATTGGACGGACAACGACAAATTACGTATATCGTCTGATCATTTCACGCCGTCAGTCCCTAGCCACCGCTACCATAGTGCCCCTCATTATACAACACGGTCTGATGGGAATTCGATTGGAACTGCCTAGCGCTGTTAAGACGTGCCCATACTCAGTACGATAAAAATCACATCATTGGCCTTTACACAGTGAAAAAATAGTCTGATATATTTTATATAATCAAATTTTTAGCGTTTCCAAATTGTTTTATATTTGATTTGTCACTCAATTTAACCCATAGTTACTGTATATATATTTATTAGCAGGCTTAGATATATTATATATAACATCGATTTTGACCGTTATACATAAATGTAGATTCGAACTGGTCTACCGTTACAAAATCCCAGTACTTCAAGTCGTTAAAATACAGCAACTGAAGTTATTGTCTCAACAGCTGTCACTCATTCTTTAAAAACAATCTATATGATAAATATATTCAGTTGGAAGCGTTGCATATACTTATTCCGTCTTTTCGTATTGCAGAGTTATCTGCTTTTGAGAGCAGGTGTTGATTGTTACGTCATTTGTTTGTGAAAGTAACGTCATAAATTTTTGAGAAAACGACGTAATTTTCTCACACAAATTAATGACGTAACAATAAATACCTGCTCACTAGAGCAGATAACTCTGCAATACGAAAAGACGGAATATTTATGAACACAAATATGTTTCATATATGGATGCTGAATTTATAAAGTTAATTAAAGTGTTTTTTATATAAGATGCAAAAATCATTTCAGCTTTCCATTTACTCTTCGTTATTTTTATTATTATGAATCTTTTGTATAGTCTTCTATCCAATCAAAGAGGAAATCTATCTAAGGCTCCGAACTTTAAGGGTTGGAAATCCTGGTTATGTACTCAACACAATCACGAGAGTATGGAGGCAGAATGAAGAGTATCTTACCATATGTTCTTCTTTGGTGCCACCATATGTGTAAACATGTGCGTGTCATGAAGGTGAGTGTATTGATCTCTGGTAGAGTGTCCAACTAGATTGACAACCCATTTGAACCCTTCCAATTCAAATGTTGCAAAAGTTCATTATCATCAGGGGTTAATGAGTTTAAAATATAACACGGAAACCCGTAATTCAGGTTTACGGTAATAATAAACCCCATTCCAGGTACAGTTAAAAAAAAAAAAAAAAAACTTCTTTACTTGCTGACACCACACATTTCTGAGTGCGGTGTATGGGTACTTATTCAGTAAAATGACTTCGGCTTTACGCTTAGAATCATAAACATGATTTTGGGATGATAAATACTTTAAAGGCCAAAAGTAGTAAAACATATAACGTGATACGACGGTATATAAACATCACGATTTAACGGATAGATGTCCGACCTAGCTTTTCGTTTGTATTTAAAGAGAGGAACATGTGTGAGTAACGCGCTGTTTGTCACATCTGTTACAAAACATTATACCGAATAGATTACAATAACGTGGAATTTTAACATCACTAACATATACACATGTTTAGTAGAATGTAAAGACATCTGGATGGTTAGCTGGCACAGTGGACAGCACACTTGCCTTTCACCGAGGCGGTTAGGGTTCGAATCCCCAATCGGACGTGAAAAGGTACGGGGTCACCTGCCCGACTAAGTGGGCTTTCTCCCGGTACTCCGGTTTCCTCCCACATTTAGAACCCCCGCGTGCTAACATCCGGGCCACAGAGTGATTGATATAAGCTTTAAAAACAAATAAAGTTTATATAATGGCATTTGGAGACGAGATATAAAACCTGTTGACGCACATTTAATTTGAAAAAAGTTACACAATAACACTAAGTTAGAATTGATTTACGTAAGGCTGGAAAACGATACGTTTCACCGATGACAAAACAATATATTTATTCGATAAAACGAACAATGTGAATTTACAAGTGTTGGTGATATGGACACCAGGACGAAGGAAACACCTGCGAAGGTAGAAAATTAAGTTACTGTCTACATTCAAAGGAGAGATGAAATGTTTATGAGACTACCGTTGACTTTCGCCCTTGAAGAAGGACAGGAGGCCGATTTATTGGGGCTTAGAGTGACATTTGTTCTTTATTCTTATCTTTGTTTCCCCTTTGAAAATCATCTGTTGTTTATTAATGTTCAATCTTTCGACCTTTGGTACCACTGATGAGTACAAAAGGACGAAAGGGCCGACTGGTACAGTAAATTGACTTTGAACAACTAATTCCTCGGGATATATATAAATACAGCACTTTTAATCATGCTCATGTGTGTGTCTAGAGTTATGTCCTCACTATCCCAGTTCTCACTTTGAGAACTTGGCAATATCTGGATTTGTTTTAGATACACATGGCAGGTGCCTCGATGAAGCAAAAGACGCTTACAATTTTGGAACACCTATTCCTATTCTCCTTGCACTTTTTCAAGGGCCTCTGTGTAAGTCTTTCTCTGTTCATAGTTTGGTAAAGTTTAATAAATTTTGTGGTCAAATTACTGTTTTGTTTAAACTTTGGAATTCTCATTCCGGCTTTTTGTCGTCTATTGTTTCTGATGATTATCAAAATACATTCAAGATTTTGGGCTCGAAGTCATATATCTTACAAAATACAAAATCGATTGCATCCTTGATTTTCGGGTACACTTAAGGTCAAACAAAATGAGCATCTTACCATATGTTCTTCTTTGGTGCTACCATATGTGTAAACATTTGTGTGTCATGCAGGTGTGTGTATGTCCTGCTTGTTTTGAGTCCGTCTTTTCAACGACTCATTTATAGTGCCATATCACGTTAACTCATTCACCCCTAAACATATTGAAACAAAATCGTACACGAACTTTCTAGGACAAAATTAAGACCTGCACACTATATAGCTATGGACAGTACGTATGCTCGACATTGCTCGGTACAATTAGTACTTGGACAAAAAGGGATGAGATGTTTGCTCGACTCTGTTGGGAATGACACCTATTTATGTTCAATGAATACACAATGGGATAAAATGTTGTTCGACCTTGCTGGGTACAATTAATTCCTGTACACAGTGGGATAAAATGTTGTTCGACCTTGCTGGGAACAATTAATTCCTGTACACAGTGGGATAAAATGTTTGCTTGAATTTGTTTTGATAAATTTAACACCTTCACCTATTTGGGTAAAAACGTATGTACGACCTTACTTCGTTGTAATTAACACCTGTCCACAGATCAAACGCATACTCGACCTTGCCGGGATACAATGTAGATAGCACTGAGTCTAGTTAGGTCCGTCTACAGTCGTGTCAGGCCTTAGATACACTGAGGCGTAAGTTACAGGTCTCGGTAATCTGCCGGGATACAATGTAGATAACATTGAGTCTAGTTAGGTCTGTCTACAATCGTGTCAGGCCTTAGATACACTGAGGCGTAAGTTACAGGTCTCGGTAATCTGCCGGTTTCAGTGACAGCGTCCCCTTAATTACTTGAATCAATAGATCGATCGTGAATACACCGTTATCACATAAAGCAATGTATATAGCCTATAAATTAGCTACAGAGACGGCCCAATTAACGGTCGCATAACAGTAGCATTCTGCCACTCTGCTATCTCCGCCGGTATCTGCCACCTGGTGACGTCGCCCTAGACATAGGGTAACACATGTACTTAAATGAGAAGCCAATTAGAAGTGTACTTCTCGTTATAACGCCAACGTAGAGTGTAGATATGTAATTACGCAGGTAACCCTACTGAGGTGAATCCTTCGCTTAAAAGTCAACATAGAGAGAAACACATCAACTTATGTAAATACGTCTAACAGGACAAAGGGCGGTACTTTCACTTCCTACGAAAAACCTTTTTATGGTGTTTCCTGGGCAGTGCTCATTTAGAATCTGTTCCTATACTGTACACTGATTTTGTCTCCAGAGATCAGCAAAGTGATCTGTTCCCATACCATACACTGAGTGTGTCTCTAGACAGCACACGGTGATCTGTTCCCATACCATACACTGAGTCTGTCTGTAGAGATCACACAATGATCTGTTCCCATACCATACACTGAGTGTGTCTCTAGACATCACACGGTGATCTGTTCCCATACCATACACTGAGTCTGTCTGTAGAGATCACACGGTGATCTGTTCCCATACCATACACTGAGTCTGTCTCTAGACATCACACGGTGATCTGTTCCCATACCATACGCTGAGTCTGTCTGTAGAGATCACACAATGATCTGTTCCCATACCATACACTGAGTTTGTCTGTAGAGATCATACAATGATCTGCTCCCATACCATACACTGAGTCTGTCTGTAGAGATCATACAATGATCTGTTCCCATCCCATACACTCAGTCTGTCTGTAGAGATCACACAATGATCTGTTCCCATACCATACACTGAGTTTGTCTGTAGAGATCATACAATGATCTGTTCCCATACCATACAATAAGTTTGTCTGTAGAGATCATACAATGATCTGTTCCCATACCATACACTGAGGGTGTCTCTAGACATCACACGGTGATCTGTTCCCATACCATACGCTGAGTCTGTCTGTAGAGATCACCCGGTGATCTGTTCCCATACCATACACTGAGTCTGTCTGTAGAGATCAGCAAAGTGATCTGTTCCCATACAATACACTGAGTTTGTCTCCAGAGATCAGCAAAGTGATCTGTTCCCATGCCATACACTCAGTCTGTCTCTAGAGATCATACAATGATCTGTTCCCATACCATACACTGAGTATGTCTCTAGAGATCACACAATGACCTGTTCCCATGCCATACACTCAGTCTGTCTCTAGAGATCACACAATCATCTGTTCCCATACTATACACTGAGTTTGTCTGTAGAGATCACACAATGATCTGTTCCCATACCAAACACCGAGTTTGTCTCCAGAGATCACACGGTGATCTGTTCCCATACCATACACTAAGTTTGTCTGTAGAGATCACACAATGATCTGTTTCCATACCATACACTGAGTCTGTCTCTCGAGATCACACAATGAGTTGTTCAAATATCATACACTGAGTTTGTCTCTAGAGATCATACAATGATCTGTTCCCATACCATACACTGACTCTGTCTCTAGAGATCCCACAATGATCCGTTTCCATACACTGAGACTGTCTCTAGACATCACACAATGATCTGTTCCCATACCATACACTGAGTCTGTCTCTAGAGATCACACAGTGATCTGTTCCCATACCATACACTGAGTTTGTCTGTAGAGATCACACAATGACCTGTTCCCTTACCATACACTGAGATTGACTTTAGAGATCATACAATGATCTGTTCCCATACTATACACTCAGACTGTCTCTAGAGATCACACAATGATCTGTTCCCATACTATACACTCAGACTGTCTTTAGAGATCATACAATGATCTGTTCCCATACCATACACTCAGACTGTCTCTAGAGATCACACAATGATCTGTTTCCATACACTGAGTCTGTCTCTTAGAATTCACGAAATGATCTATTTCTTACAGCTGTCTAGATTTTATTTTTAAATACGCCATTTTTAAATTTCCTCTTAATATTATCTTAAATCATTAATATGTTCCCAATGTATGATCCTAAATGGTAGTTAATATTAATTACTTAATTAACCACATACACGAGATCGCACTTATAAAATAGATGCAGTTTGTCAACAATATATAGCACTACACCATACAGCTGTTTATACCCTCTCGGACTCACGGGGATGCTAGGTACCCAGAAGGTTCAAATCCAAACTGGCCGAAACAACTAATCAAACAGGAGACGGGTCTAAAATAACATTAATTATATACATTTCAAAAATAAAAGGATTACAGGTAAAGGTTGGATCAACATTTTGCCCCCAATTTGATTTCCTTTAATCTTTTGCCATATGAATGATCAGTAACTGCAAAAACGATTATTCATATATATACTGGAATCAGCTTGTCTATCCATCTATCTGTTAACTCATTCTAAAGTAGTGACCCAATCCCAACGAAGGTTTCCAGATATGATAACTAACACCTGAAGTTGTGTATGCAGGTATTATTTTTTCATTCTGACCTTTTTTCTTCTTCAAAGTTATGGCCTTGTTTTGAAAAATCCTTGTCCAGACAACTCCTCCAAAACTAAGGGGTCAATTTCAACGAAAGTTTCCAGATATGGTAACAACCATCTGATGGTCTGCATCCAGGAATTTCTTTTTTCAATCTGACCCTTTTTGTACGGAGTAATGGCCCTTTGTTGAAAAACACTTGTCCAGACAACTCCTCCAAAACTATGGGGCCAATTTCAACGGAAGTTTACATATATGGTAACTGCTCCCTGACATTGTGCATCCAAGAATATGTTTTCATTCCTACCCTTTAAAAAGGAGTTATGGCCCTTTCTTGGAAAAAAACTTTGTCTGCCTCATAAACTTCTGGGCCAATTTCAAGAAAGTTTACAGATATGGTAGTTACTCTCTGATGTCGTGCTTCAGGGTAGTATTTTTTTTCATTTCGACCCTTTTTAAGGAGTTATGGCCCTTTGTTAAAAGTCTTTGTCTTGACAACTCTTCCTTCACCACTAAAACGATTTCAGCAAAAGTGGTTCATCTAAGTTAATAAGATGTGGTATGAAAGTATGTTTTGGCATGGGGAGGGAGTACAAGAAGTATGTCAGTGACATATATACATACATCAGTACAGGTGGGAAACTATGGATTAATTTGCAATGATTTGCCTTAGTTAGCCTTTAGATTACAGTTCTGGTTTATATAGGAACGGGGGTATTAGTTAGTCTTTGGCTTACAGTTCTAGTTATTATTTTCGTTGCCTTTTGACTATTCATTAAACAAAATATGAAGGGATATTACATTCTTTTATATCGTTAACTCTAAACAAATAAAGCAAGGAAATATACCCTTGTCTGACTCCCCATACAAAAAAAAATCGGGACATTTGGTTTTTGGTACCTTGAACAAAGGTCAAGGTCATCAAAATTAACAACACTTAAACTCATGTACATGAACAACCTACTTGTCAAATATCAACATCCAAGGACCTTTAGTCATGAAGAAACAAAAGTTAAAGGAAATGTGGAAAGAAAGCTATGTTTTTCTTTTTTTGTTGAACCAAAAGTAGTAAATGACAAATTTACCGGTTTTCCTTTTTTTTGAAATTCCTGATGTTGAAAGATATTGTTAGTAGCCAACTTTTTAACAAGTAAGAAAAATAGACTAGTTTTAGAACTATATGAATTAACGTGTCAAAAATGGAAAATTTCTCATTAGAAATGAAATTTCACATACTTTTCTGCTTAAAACTTAAATAAAAAGAACAATTCTTTATTGAAATAGTGAAATTATTCGGTATCAAAATAACAGTTGAAATACGTTGCACGCGGTGATGATATAATTTATAATAATTGCGCCATTTGAATGATCTAGGAGGAATTGTATTACTGCACCTTTAACACCCACACAGGTGTTAGTCAAGAAGGTCCCAATATCATCAAATGAATTCTGAAACTAACTGTTCCTGATTTGGATTTATCTTGTTTTGAAATTCCAAGTGGGGGCCGACGCTAATGTTAAATCCCCATAGGCGTTGACCCCACCTTTCAAATATAATGAGTACAGTGTGTATATTATTATAACGTTGACCTAGACCTAAGGTAGCACAGGTTCTTACTCAATGAGCCAATTTGATTTATTCGAATCGGGATGTATTTCTGTGGTCTTCTATCTTGCTTGCAGGTAGGGCGTAAGAATTGTACCTGCTGCCCCCATTGCATGATCGTAAGAGACGACTAAATTTTAAACAAATTTCTTCTTCCTAATGTCGCCATTGACAATGCATAACTTTTGGCCTTTAGTTGAGCGTTCGCCCCTGTGAGGAAGGCTTTGGGTTCTGTCCCCTGGCCGAGACATATTAGAGTCTGAAAAAATGGTAGTTTCTACTCCTGCTTAACGCTCAGCAATTTAGGAGTGGGACGACTGGTTTGGCCCGTTGTCAGTAATGTAACAGGGTGGGGTATCCTGCTAGGTGTCTTCGGCAGTACGTTTCAGTGAGGTAGCACTATAAAGTCGGCATCAATTCCGCGCTATCACAAGGAGACAAACACACGCATACACTACACGCATGTATCTTGAACACAGGGGAGGCCGTCCTCAAATGACCATAGCTGTTGATAGGACGTTGAACAATACTAAACCAAACCAAACCAAATGATCGAGTATTGCTGCAAGGGAGTATAAAGTATATCGGCATATGTCTACGTTGACATAGGAAACTTAGAATTCCCATTGATCTTCTTGTTATTCTATTTCCTCGGGTTATTTTAATTCCTTTTCTCTTTTACTGTGATTTATACTTTGTTCAGAGGTCTTGAAAAGAATAGAAGAATGTGTCAATATGATTGTATCGAACCTATCGAAGATGACCATTGTAACATCCTATTTCCCGGCTAGGCGCTTTGGCGCTCGATCCCCGCCGTTCTGGTAAAACATTGACAGAATCAATAGTGAGCTTCGCGGAATGAAAACCCTGATTTGAAGAAACAAATCTGCTAAGTGAAAAGGCTTTACGCAGAAATAAATAAAATGATCTTTTTTATGAAAGTTCAGATTAACGTTTTAAAAGTGTTGTAGTTGTTGAACTTATTATATGTACAGTCAATTCCTATAAACAATTCGCGAAAATTGATCTTAGAATTGAATACAATTTATTACGAATAAGTCGTGTAAAATATGCAGTATACTATATACAGTATATTAATGTAGGCCTCATAAGTAATACCGACAGTTGATCCAATACTGGCACTGAATCCGAACAACTTAAATAGATATATGGACAAAGAAGTGAATGTTTTTTTTTAAACATAAACACTGACATATCACAATATATAACTATGATAGATAGTCACTATGAAATGTCTACATTCTAAAATACATAAACAAAAAACTCCACGTAGTCACTAAATAAATATGCCGATGTTATCGCATATCCCCTCGGTTAGCTTGTAACCGTAGGACAACTGCGGTAAAAAATGACGTAAGGTCAAGTGAACTAATAAACAAAATGTGAATATAAGTAGTGAGAAAATCTATAACCGTAGTTGTTCGTGTAAAGACGACCTATATCTAATCTATTATACTATTTGTACAATATTTTGACCTAGGTTAGATACAGTGTTATACTTACATCAGTATCCGAAGTATCTGCATCGTGGAACTGAATCTTGTTTCTGATCGGATGGTTCACCATGGACGCCGATTTGTTTCCGTGGAACCATTTCCCGCTTTGACATACAAACTTAAGTTTAAGTTGACAAATGTTACACCGCCACTTGCCTCTGACATTCTGTGTGGAAATATAAAGATGCATTAGTATATTTCCTCCAGTGCTCCTGACCTCTCAACACAAAGCGCATTATACCTTTTCAATAATTATATTCTGATCAGAATGACGAGGAGAGGACAGACGGTTCCACCGGTGCTTTGTAGTTAACTGGCTATAAAATGTACAGTTAGCTCCTTTTATAACGAGACTCACTATAACAATGTCATTTGACCGGCTTCCTTTGAAATGTGTGCGAGATTGATCTGGCGTCTCCCTCGAAGAGTAAGCATAGTTAAATGGACATTTGTATTGCTGACAACGACTCCGCGCACAGATCACCACAACGTAACGGCTGACAATGACTACAGGGTATTAAATCCTCAACATAAAACCCCAGGTATCTAGACCGATGTGTATATATCGATTTTCATAATGAGAGTCACATTTGTCTGTTAGTTAGCTATGAAAGTACAAACTATTTATTTAGATATGTTCAAAATTACAGCGTAGATGAAAGAAGCATCACAGGTAGAAAACATTGACTCAATAGGTTGCTGGTCAGCAGGAAGAATATATTCAGATGATTCTGGTACATAAGGCTGGCTCAGTAGTATCAAATGTGATAAGTAATCTCCACAAGCAGGGGAGGCTGGTATGGTGCTATCGAGAAAAGGGAAGTTTATAACTACTGTGGTATTTAAGTTGTCACGTCATAAATGTTCATATTGAAATCGGATATATTTTAACGATCACTGCTCCCCACTGCAGGCATAACAATAGAGAAATGTAGTTTTTTTCATATATTCTGCCCTTCCCTTAATTTCGTTATGTATATAACTGTAGTCGGCCTGGGAAACGGAACTACTGCTCACATGATAGACATTTAGTTAGAACGACTGACTAGTGATCCGATTGGAGTTACAGGGTTCGAATACCGATCTGATCCTTTTGTATTTTTATCCACGACGACCGTAATTCATTAAAAAGAATCCATACAATTGTGTTTATTCAGTTTTTGGTATGTTTTAAAAAAAATTGAATTATAAAACTATTGTCATGTAGATACAATAGTTTCAAGTGGATAATTAAAGTCTATTGAAGCTTCATAGGGTCACGATAGACATATCTCTTAAGATAATTAAGACGAATTAAAATAACTGTTAGATATAGAATTATAGAGATTCACAAGATAATTCAAACAAAATTATTAAGGTCAAGAAAAGGTTAGTTTAGTCCGTTCCACAACCGAGGTCCATTAGCGTCAAGGTTAGTTCAATAAAATTATCGTGATCAATTACGTAAAGGTTAATTAGGTTTAAGGTAAATTCTGTAAAATTATTGAGGTCAATTGTGTAAAAAAGGTAAATTTAGTTCGAAAAATTTCTGAGGTTTATTAGGTTGAAATTAGTCAGGTTATCCTCATTAAAACTATTGAAATTTATTAGGTTAAAGGTAAGACCATTAAAATACTCGGGGTTAAAGGTAAGGCCATTTAAATAATCGAGGCCCATTAGGTTAAAGGTAAGGTCAATTAAATAATTGAGGTCCATTGTGTTAATTAAATGTGAGGTCATTGAAATAATTGAGTTCCATTAGGTTACATGTGAGGTCATTAAAATAATCGAGGTCCATTAGGTTAATGGTGAGGTCATTGGAATAATCGAGGTCCATTAGGTTAAAGGTAAGTTCTTAAAACATATTTGCAGTCAAATAGGTTGAAGGAAAAATATGTTCAAAGCAATTACTGAGGTCCATTAATTTAAATAAAGTAACATTAATTTCATTATAATTATTAGAGTCCGGTAGGTAAAGATAAGTACAATCAACGTATTGCTATCCATAATGTTAAAGTTCAATGGTTAGTCAAATAAACTTTACACTGTTTTTTCTATGGTGATCTTACGCTAATGAAAAATATTACTAAACTACTCTTTAATCGAACTAATTTCCATAACTCATACCCGTGACCGTACTTATTTATTTAATACATACTATGAATATGATCGTGTCTTTCTCATAAATCAGTAATAATATCAACTGACCAGTAAAGCATATGTTAATTAGATCCATCTAATTTAGTCATATACTCAAAAAAGATACTATTACCGATACAAAACAGATTGGAGCGAAGCTCAATCATACAAAGTGATTCTACATTTGTTTCCAGTGTGAACAATCAACAAATACAACCAAACCCAGTGCCACCGGAAGTTATGTGCCTACCTTTTGTTTTCGAGGACTCCCTTTAGGAGTTTCGCAAGAGCCGCATCTTAAACACACCCTTCGACGGCAATCATGACAAACCCTTCCGACTCCATCTGCGAATTTTGTCTCGTGGCAGAGACGGCAGAGACGTAGGTCCATATGTTTAACCTTGCCCTTCCCGGTAGCCTGCTGCCGAACGGTGTGTTCATACGTCTCAAGTCTGCGTTCCATCTCCCTGCAATACAGAAAATACATAATTGGTCATCTAGTTGTAGACAGATACAAGTTGAACCTCTTATAATAAGGCTACAAGAACAAGGATGGTCATACATTGTCAGCATTTCTTCATTAGTCTCAATAATCATTTACATTGCAATGTAAATGAAACAAGTCGTTTTGTCCGCCAGATTGATGAACTAATTGTTAATGTTATCGTTAGAAGCAAAAACAGTTTGTATGCAGTGATATATTGGTCCACTGAAACAAACAAGAGCTGTTGGAGAACATCGTTGCTCGTTTTTCATAATATATTTAAGTTTGTAAATATCAATAGAAATATATACATGTGTCATTACATGTTTTAGGTTGCTAAATCAATTTCACTTTTTGTAATTTATATCATCTGTTTGAATATTCCTACTTTTTATAATATTGTAATGACCGGATCATACGTGTTAATTCCGGATCGTATATCCCTTGCGTTCCGTACTTTAGTATGTCCGTATGTAGGTCATGTGACCTATTTGTTTTCGTTCGAGCAATAGCTATGTTTGGAGAGGGATATTTTTTCAGAATTCCCGCCACCTTCTCCTTTCATTTTTCGGCCACCTATGTTAAGTTTGAAATGTTCATTTTTGTATGATTGTGTGTTCTGATCATAACAGTAGCCCAACCTGGCGTTCTGATCATTGGCGTTCTGCCAACTTTTTTTGCTGAGTGAAAAATGATCACAATTATTATGTAACTAACAAAATTAAATCCTCGGCGTTCTGATCATATCATTAGCACAACCATTTTTGCTGAGTGAAAAATGATTACAATTATTATGTTACTAACAGTATTATGTTATAATTCTTTGGCATTAAATAATTGCTCATATTCGACAACAAATTAGAATTTTAGTTGTTTTCTGGTATTTGTAAAAAAAACATAGCAGAGTTTCCATGTGTGCTACTACAACCTTATTTTTTGACATTCTAAACATGATGATATAAATGTATCTTAACATGTTTTAGGTTGCTAAACTGGTGCTGTTATTTTCAACTTCACTTTTTTGTTGTTGTACAATGTAAGTACCCATACAAAATATAGTCTACAGTGACGTGTCAGTGTTGGTGTAGGTGTATATACGAATATTACAATATAATATTGCCACGAAAGAACTTTGAAATTAATAGTAAACGAAATCTTTGAAAGTTGCACGAAATCATAAAATGTTTCACACAAAGTTGAATTTAAATGAATCCCTCTTGGACCCTAAAATATGAAAATTAGGTTCGGCACATTACATACAATCTATATCAACGCCTCAACCTTGTACTAAGCAATAGCTTATTGAGTGTGCAGATCCGACACTGCACAAAAAACTTAACCAAGACCAATTCATTTTTTTGGCCCCTTATATAATAAAGATATGAAAATATGCTTCGGCATATTGCTTACACTCCATATAATGCCTCAACCGTATACATTGCACAAAAAACGTACTCAAAAACTTTATCCAAGTCCAACTAAGCTGTCTTGGTCCCCAAATCATGGAAACATGATTCAGCACAATCCTTACACTTGATATAAAAAGCCTCAACCTTTTTAATGGTCAACAGCCTATAAGGAGTTTTGATATAACATTACGGCTTGCTTAAAAAAGTTTAACTTTTTAAGCCTGGTCAAAATCTTAAATCAAGTCTAATCAAGCTATCTGCCCCCTAAAACATAAAGAAGGGTTCAGCACATCGTTTAGGCTCCTTATAAATGCCTCAAACTTATAAAAACAGCCTCTTGATTTTTGTGAGCAAACACTGTCTGGGAAAAAAAATGGCTCAAGAAGTTTAACCTGATGTGGGACGCCAACAACGGGGTGACTTCATCAGCCCCATGTTTTCCGAATAGGCGAGGAGCTAAAACGGATTAAACTTATCTTCATGATAAAAGGTCGTTATTCGGCTCACAACTCAGTATTAGAATACACACTACAATGCGAATTTGATCCAATTAAAACCTTTTTAAATTGGACATCCAATCAAATAATATTGGACACTTTGGACAAAAAATACCACGCAAAATTCGGAAAAAAATCGAATAAACAGGCAGGTCAAGTATCAGTAATGTAAACCTTCAAATAGCTGTAAAGGAAGCTCCCCTGGAAGTTATAGTCCCACTGGAAAGAAACGAATCATTTTTTGTTTCAAATGGGTTTTCGTACGATTCCGGAACACCTGGTCTTATTCTTGTATGTTTTTCAAAAATCTCCATGTTAAACTTTTCTTTTTTCCATATTTTGCCCTTTCTGTATCGACTATCATTACTTCCGTGACAGATGTCGACCACTGACACATGGAGATGTCGACCAATCTCCATGTTAAACTTTTCTTTTTTTCATATTTTGCCCTTACTGTATCGATTTTGAGTTTGAAATTCAGTTTTGTAGACACCTCGATATTCTCCTGTTGTTTGATTTATGGGGTTTACAAAAATAGAAAACAGGTAAGATGTTGATCTGTTGTACAGCACTATCCCTGTCGTTTATGGTTGTGCCTATACGAGCTAATAATAATCCAACAAGATATTGTGTGACCTGTATTATCCTTTCATCTTTCATTTCAAGGTAACTAGAGCAAGTTAACATCAAACATTAATTTATTCTAAATTTAGAAACTTTACTTGTTTTGGGCTTTAGTTCATTACAACACCTCTTGGTATCATGCTATACTAGTTGAACAATACGCGTCTTGATTTGTGTACATGAAAATGCTGGCAGCTTCCTAAACATTGAACAAACGCCATTGGTAGTCTTCGACCAATTTTTGATTTTGTTGAATGGCATTGGGAAGACCATTACAGTCAAACACTTACAATGAGGAGGGATGGCATTGGGAAGACCGTTACAGAGACAAGCACTAAACATGAGGAGGGATGGCATTGGGAAGACCATTACAGAAAAACACTTGACATGAGGAGGGATGGCATTGGGAAGACCATTACAGACAAAAACTTAACATGAGGAGGGATGGCATTGGGAAGACCATTACAGAGACAAACACTAAACATGAGGAGGGATGGCATTGGAAAGACCATTACAGAAAAACACTAAACATGAGGAGGGATGGCATTGGGAAGTCCATTACAGAGACAAGCATTAAACATGAGGAGGGATGGCATTGGGAAGACCATCACAGAGACAAACACTAAACATGAGGAGGGATGGCATTCGGAAGTCCATTACAGACAAACACTAAACATGAGGACGGATGGCATTGGGAAGACCATTACAGAGACAAGCACTAAACATGAAGAGGGATGGCATTGGGAAGACCATTACAGACGAGCACTAAACATGAGGAGGGATGGCATTGGGAAGACTATAACAGACAAGCACTAAACATGAGGAGGAATGGCACTGGGAAGACCATTACAGAGACAAGGACTAAACATGAGGAGGGATGGCATTGGGAAGTCCATTACAGACAATCACTAAACATGAGGAGGTATGGCGTTGGGAAGTCCATTACAGACAAACACTAAACATGAGGAGGTATGGCATTGGGAAGACTATAACAGACAAGCACTAAACATGAGGAGGAATGGCACTGGGAAGACCATTACAGAGACAAGGACTAAACATGAGGAGGGATGGCATTGGGAAGTCCATTACAGACAATCACTAAACATGAGGAGGTATGGCGTTGGGAAGTCCATTACAGACAAACACTAAACATGAGGAGGTATGGCATTGGGAAGTCCATTACAGACAAACCCTAAACATGAGGAGGGATGGCATTGGGAAGACCATAACAGACGAGCACTAAACATGAGGAGGGATGGCATTGGGAAGACTATAACAGACAAGCACTAAACATGAGGAGGGATGGCACTGGGAAGACCATTACAGAGACAAGGACTAAACATGAGAAGGGATGGCATTGGGAAGACCATTACAGAGACAAGCACTAAACATGAAGAGGGATGGCATTGGGAAGACCATTACAGACAAACATTAAACATGAGAAGGGATGGCATTGGGAAGACCATTACAGACAAACACTAAACATGAGACAAACACTAAACATGAGAAGGGATGGCATTGGGAAGACCATAACAGTCGAGCACTAAACATGAGGATGTATAACATTGGGAAGACCATTACAGAAAAACACTTGACATGAGGAGGTATGGCACTGGGAAGACCAATACAGAGACAAGCAGTAAGCATGACGAGGGATGGCATTGGGAAGACCATTACAGACAAAGAGGAGGGATGGCATTGGAAAGACCATTACAGACAAAAACTTAACATGAGGAGGGATGGGATTGGGAAGACCATTACATAGACAAGCACTAAACATGAAGAGGTATGGCATTGGGAAGCCCATTACAGAGACAAGGACTAAACATGAGGAGGGAGGGCCTTGGGAAGACCATTACATACAAACACTAAACATGAGTAGGGATGGCATTGGGAAGCCCATAACAGTCGAGCACTAAACATGAGGATGGATGGCATTGGGAAGACTATAACAGACAAACACTAAGCATGAGGAGGGATGGCATTGTGAAGACCATTACAGACACATAACAGACGAGCACTGAGCATGAGGAGGGATGGCAGTGGGAAGTCCATTACAGAGCCAAGCACTAAACATGAGCATAACAGACGAGCACTAAGCATGAGAAGGGATGGCATTGAGAAGACCATAACAGTCGAACACTAAACATGAGGATGGATGGCATTGGGAAGAGCATTACAGACAAACACTTGACATGAGGAGGTATGGCATTGGGAAGACCACTACAGAGACAAACACTAAACATGGGGCGGGATGGCATTGGGAAGAGCATTACAGACAAACACTTGACATGAGGAGGGATGTCATTGGGAAGCCCATTACAGACAAACACTAAACCTGAGGAGGGATGGCATTTGGAAGACCATTACAGAGACCAACACTAAACAAGAGGAGGGATGGCATGGGGAAGTCCATTACAGAGACATAACAGTCGAGCACTAAACATGAGGGG